ACTCACTCACTCACTCACACACTCACACACACACACACACACATAAACAACACACTCACTCACTCACACTCTCACACACTCACACATACACACACACACTCACACACACACACACACACACACACACTCTCACACAATCACACATACACACACACACACACACTCAAACAAACACACTCTCACACACACACTCACACAAACGCACACGCACTCACACACACACACTCACACACACTCACTCAAGGTTATTTTCGTAAACGAAAACTAAATCTAAGACGAAAACTATTGGTCAAAAAACATAAATAAAAACATCAAAATAAATGAAAAACTAAAACAAAACGAAACTAACAACAGTTACTGCAAAACTAACTGAAATAAAATAATAATAATAATTTAAAAAAATAAATAATCGTTTTCGTAATCATTACGTTCTCACCCCGTGGCGAAAAAATATTTGAGCTGTGTGTCGGTTTAGGAAAATACCGGGAAATACCCGTAAATGGCGCATCATGCACGTGAGGTTATCTGACGGAGAGACGCAAAGCAGTTTAAAGCAGAGTCCTGCACGGGTTGTTAGGTAAACCTGCATCCGCAGTACACAACAGAACACCCGACCCCTTATCCGACAGCAGCCAGCACCAATTTAATTCTGTACCCGATGCGTTTGACATAAAGACCGCGACCTGAACCGCACCCGCATTAAATAGGCTACTGCATCAGTAAGGCAAAATTTTTTATTTTCTCATGTGACACAAGCAATCAAACTAAAATAGGCATTTTAAGTTGGTGCTTTGAAGAAAAACAGACAAGCAGCGCAACAGAACAAAGAACCTGCATCCTTCCTGTAAACCATAAAAAACTTTTGCCCACATCTTGCGATGCCAAAGGCTGTTTTGAACAAATGTGCATAAACTACGCGCTTATAATTCTTCATAAAAGAAAAGAACATATTTAAATATGCCTTTACTGTTAAATGTCATTGTCTCTCCTTAAACTCTGCAGTGTGTGGCCGTTAGTCCTTTACAGAACCATTAAAAATAAAATGATGCATGGGCTACAGAAAACAGCAAAGAGCGCTCTCTAAGCTGTCATTCACTTCAGCTGCAGCGCGAATGTTAAATTAACATTATTATTGAATTTCATAAGTTCCACTTATGATTTATGCGCGTTTGTTCGCGGGAAAGTGAGCAAGACAGGACAGTTATGGTATCATGATTATGGTTAAATAAGATATGAATACAAAGAAATTAGCTACACACTTATCATTCAGTAGTACGTTTTAAATATACTGTAAGTGCAACTTGTGTAGATTTAAAAAGGCATGACTGCTTCATTTTGATGTGTATTTGTATACTTTTACCATCTAATCAATCTCAGCATGCTTTAATTTTGTGTCCCTAGTCGTGTGCATCGCGTGATCAGGGTTAATTTTGCTATCACACACACTCTCTCACACACACACACACACACACACTCTCACACACACACTCCCACACACACACACACCCACACACACACACACACACACACACACACACACACACACACACACACACACACACACACACACACACACACACTCTCACACACACACACACACACACACACACACTCACACACTCTCTCACACATACTGTGTGTAGCTCATCTCTGTCTCTGTGTGTGTCTCAGTGTAACATGAAGGAAGAATACATCGACCGGATCCAGATGCTGGACTTTGACACGCAGGCAGCCATCGCCGCTCACATTCAGGAGGTCTGTGTCACATGACGTCACGAGTGCAGCTGCGACCCCTGACCTCTGACCCTCTGTGTGCGTGTGTGTGTGTGTGCAGGTGACACATAACCAGGAGAACGTGTTTGACCTTCAGTGTGTGGAGGAGAGCGAGTCTGTCCCGCACGATAAAGACATCGTCTTCAGACAGCTGACCTTTAACCTCAAGCGCCTCGTCTACGAGAGAGACCAACATGCTGAGGTAACACACACACACACGCTCGCTGCTGCTGTGGGTGTGACGCGGTTAATGAAGGACCATGTGACTCTCTGACCACAGGCTAACATGCATCATACACATTCAACATCATCATCTGTGTGAAAGCCAGGATCAGACGCCTGCGGCAGGAGCTGTGAGTACAGCACTTATCCAGCTTCCCCTCGGTCCGCTGGCCGTTACAGGACGTGCTGAGGACCAGGGGAAGTTATTGATCTATTGATGGAGTTCAGCCGTTAGTCTGCGCTGCTACAGCTCTTCACACGCAGCTGTCAGCGTTATTTCCCTCAGTGTCTCTGTGTTTGCTGATGTTCTCTCGGACTAACATCTACTTCAGACTCCCGGAGAGCTTGAGAAACAGACAGTTTATAACTGTAAATGACGTTACAAGTGTTATCTTTACTGCTGCTTTGACATGCTGGTAACTCTTTAACAAAAGCCCTGGTGAATCATTTACACTAAGGTACAGTACTTATAAAGCGATGCTATCTAACACGACATAATCACATAACCGCAGTGAACCGTACTCTCTTCCTCTATTTCTGTTATTCTCCCTCTGTGTACTCTGTGTAGAGAAGTAAACTAAATCTCATTTATCCAGCTTCCCCTCGGTCCGCTGGCCGTTACAGGACGTGCTGAGGACCAGGGGAAGTTATTGATCTATTGATGGAGTTCAGCCGTTAGTCTGCGCTGCTACAGCTCTTCACACGCAGCTGTCAGCGTTATTTCCCTCAGTGTCTCTGTGTTTGCTGATGTTCTCTCGGACTAACATCTACTTCAGACTCCCGGAGAGCTTGAGAAACAGACAGTTTATAACTGTAAATGACGTTACAAGTGTTATCTTTACTGCTGCTTTGACATGCTGGTAACTCTTTAACAAAAGCCCTGGTGAATCATTTACACTAAGGTACAGTACTTATAAAGCGATGCTATCTAACACGACATAATCACATAACCGCAGTGAACCGTACTCTCTTCTTCTATTTCTGTTATTCTCCCTCTGTGTAGAGAAGTAAACTAAATCTCATGGAATTTCTGCATGGAATGATTCAATAGGTGTGTCCCAAATCGCGTACTTATGCACTATTCTATGACGTTTTGTAATATAAATAGTGCGAGTAGTGCGTTCACACTGAAAATTTCACAAAGAAAAAGTGCACTTTATATACCCGGATGATGCACTTTAATAACCGAACATATGAAGTGTGGAATGTTGGACACTTCATGCACTCAACTGTCGCAGCTTTAATTACGTAGTGAAGGGGGAGGGGCTATCAGACTCGTTTATGAATGACAGAATAACCTTATATAATTCATACACTACATGGTTGAGTACATAGTGCATAAGTACCAAGTGCATAGTGTGTCATTTGGGACGCAGCTAATGACTCTCAAGGTTTACTCGTTTCATTACTGGATGAATCAGTGTTGTTGAATGAATGATTCAAAGACAAATACATTTTTAACAGCCCCTTTCCACCACCTAAAAATAAAAGATGTGCACACAGGAATTGAGAGGTGGAATTGAAATTTTAATTTCACAACAAGTGTCCGGTTCCTGACCTTAAGTATCCCATTCTGGAATTGGAATTGATTTTGGATTCACAGTCCTAGTCTCAAACAAGTCATTTGTGAGAGGATGAGAGCGAGTTTCCAAGCATTAAACTGAAGGTGTGGCTGCGGTGGCTTTGTTAGAGGAGCTCTCACACTGTCCCGTATGCATGCTGAAGCGTCCAGGATGATTCTGCACATCTAGAATGAGGCCACGGCTCTTTACCTGGCTTCTGTTCTTGCGTCTTTCACTGCAGGGTAAAGGAGGACAGTCTATTTTAATCCGTGTGCCATAAAAGAATCGCACAGCTCCACTTCCTCTTCCCCACTGATCATGAACGAGATTCATTTTGTTTCTGCGCAGTTTATCAAACGTAGTCACAGCTCTCATGTGGTCTCCAGTAAAGTTCATGAGTAGAGGTTTTTCTCATCCAAAGTGTGGTACAGTAGGATTATCACAGAATTAACCTGACAGCGGCCCATCATTAACCAGGAGTCTTACTCGCTTCTGCAGACTAACTGCTTGAATGTCTCTGTGTTTCAGAGAGGAGAAGACTGAGCAGCTGCTGGACTGCAGACAGGAGCTGGAGCACATGGAGACAGAGGTCAAGAGACTGCAGCAGGAAGTGAGGCGTCTCTACATCTTCACCACTGACTGAAAAACACGCTCCTGTGTGACACTGAGCTTAACTAAATCTCTGTCATCTTAATTGCGAGTCCTGATGTGTAATGATTACAGTAATTCCTTTAACTACTTACACGCCACAGCTTTACACAGCCAGTAATAGCTCAGCCGATCATCACACGTGTATTTACAGACGCCGCTGTATCACTGTCTGATCCATGGCATCAAACCGTGATAAATAAACCCTCACACAGCAGTCCAGCCTCTCAAAGAGATGACAATTCTGTCGTCATTTACCCTCATTCTGTGGAATACAAGAATCTAAATTTCCCAAACCTGTTCCCACAGCCTGTATGAATATCTATATCTATATGTCTTGCATTTAGTTTACCATTATAATGTTTGGTAATTCTGGTAAATCAAAGAGTGTCATAATTCTGCATATTGTAAATCAAATATATATTGGTTAAACACATTTGCTTGTGTGTTTGTCAGAACCTGCAGTTGCTGTGTGACGCGCGGTCGCTGCGGGCGTATCGTGACGAGCTGGATGCTCTCAGAGAGAAGGCCGTCAGGGTGGACAAACTGGAGAGTGAAGTGACGCGCTACAAAGAGAAACTCCATGACATTGAGTTCTACAGGACCAGAGTGGAGGTGCGCTCACATGACTACATGTGTTCACGAGGGAATGCTGGGAATGTTGTGGAGGTTATTGATTGTTTGTGTTCACAAGGGAATGCTGGGAATGTTGTGGAGGTTGTTGATTGTGTGTGTTAACTAGGGAATGCTGGGAATGCCATGGCAGTTATTGATTGTGTGTGTTCACAAGGGAATGCTGGGAATGCCATGGTGGTTGTTGATTGTGTGTGTTCACATGGGAATGTTGTGGAGGTTATAGATTGTGTGTTCACGAAGGGAATGCTGGGAATGCCATGGCGGTTGTTGATTGTCTGTGTTCACGAGGGAATGCTGGGAATGCCATGGTGGTTGTTGATTGTGTGTGTTCACGAGGGAATGCTGGGAATGCCATGGCAGTTATTGATTGTGTGTGTTCACAAGGGAATGCTGGGAATGCCATGGCAGTTATTGATTGTGTGTGTTCACAAGGGAATGCTGGGAATGCCATGGCAGTTATTGATTGTGTTTGTTCACGAGGGAATGCTGTTCAGGTTATTGATTGTGTGTTCACAAGGGAATGCTGGGAATGCCATGGCAGTTATTGATTGTGTGTGTTCACAAGGGAATGCTGGGAATGCCATGGTGGTTGTTGATTGTGTGTGTTCACATGGGAATGTTGTGGAGTTATAGATTGTGTGTTCACGAAGGGAATGCTGGGAATGCCATGCCGGTTGTTGATTGTCTGTGTTCACGAGGGAATGCTGGGAATGCCATGGTGGTTGTTGATTGTGTGTGTTCACGAGGGAATGCTGGGAATGTTGTGGAGGTTATTGATTGTTTGTGTTCACGAGAGAATGCTGGGAATGTTGTGGCGGTTGTTTATTGTGTGTGTTCACGAGGGAATGCTGGGAATGTTGTGGAGGTTGTTGATTGTGTGTGTGTTCACAAGGGAATGCTGGGAATGTTGTGGCGGTTATTGATTGTGTGTGTTCACGAGGGAATGCTGGGAATGTTGTGGAGGTTATTGATTGTGTGTTCACGAAGGAATGCTGGGAATGCCATGGCAGTTATTGATTGTGTGTGTTCACAAGGGAATGCTGGGAATGTTGTGGAGGTTATTGATTGTGTGTTCACGAAGGAATGCTGGGAATGCCATGGCAGTTATTGATTGTGTGTGTTCACAAGGGAATGCTGGGAATGTTGTGGAGGTTATTGATTGTGTGTTCACGAAGGAATGCTGGGAATGCCATGGCAGTTATTGATTGTGTGTGTTCACAAGGGAATGCTGGGAATGTTGTGGAGGTTATTGATTGTGTGTTCACGAAGGAATGCTGGGAATGCCATGGCAGTTATTGATTGTGTGTGTTCACAAGGGAATGCTGGGAATGTTGTGGAGGTTATTGATTGTGTGTTCACGAAGGAATGCTGGGAATGCCATGGCAGTTATTGATTGTGTGTGTTCACAAGGGAATGCTGGGAATGTTGTGGAGGTTATTGATTGTGTGTTCACGAAGGAATGCTGGGAATGCCATGGCAGTTATTGATTGTGTGTGTTCACAAGGGAATGCTGGGAATGTTGTGGAGGTTATTGATTGTGTGTTCACGAAGGAATGCTGGGAATGCCATGGCAGTTATTGATTGTGTGTGTTCACAAGGGAATGCTGGGAATGTTGTGGAGGTTATTGATTGTGTGTTCACGAAGGAATGCTGGGAATGCCATGGCAGTTATTGATTGTGTGTGTTCACAAGGGAATGCTGGGAATGTTGTGGAGGTTATTGATTGTGTGTTCACGAAGGAATGCTGGGAATGCCATGGCAGTTATTGATTGTGTGTGTTCACAAGGGAATGCTGGGAATGTTGTGGAGGTTATTGATTGTGTGTTCACGAAGGAATGCTGGGAATGCCATGGCAGTTATTGATTGTGTGTGTTCACAAGGGAATGCTGGGAATGTTGTGGAGGTTATTGATTGTGTGTTCACGAAGGAATGCTGGGAATGCCATGGCAGTTATTGATTGTGTGTGTTCACAAGGGAATGCTGGGAATGTTGTGGAGGTTATTGATTGTGTGTTCACGAAGGAATGCTGGGAATGCCATGGCAGTTATTGATTGTGTGTGTTCACAAGGGAATGCTGGGAATGTTGTGGAGGTTATTGATTGTGTGTTCACGAAGGAATGCTGGGAATGCCATGGCAGTTATTGATTGTGTGTGTTCACAAGGGAATGCTGGGAATGTTGTGGAGGTTATTGATTGTGTGTTCACGAAGGAATGCTGGGAATGCCATGGCAGTTATTGATTGTGTGTGTTCACAAGGGAATGCTGGGAATGTTGTGGAGGTTATTGATTGTGTGTTCACGAAGGAATGCTGGGAATGCCATGGCAGTTATTGATTGTGTGTGTTCACAAGGGAATGCTGGGAATGTTGTGGAGGTTATTGATTGTGTGTTCACGAAGGAATGCTGGGAATGCCATGGCAGTTATTGATTGTGTGTGTTCACAAGGGAATGCTGGGAATGTTGTGGAGGTTATTGATTGTGTGTTCACGAAGGAATGCTGGGAATGCCATGGCAGTTATTGATTGTGTGTGTTCACAAGGGAATGCTGGGAATGTTGTGGAGGTTATTGATTGTGTGTTCACGAAGGAATGCTGGGAATGCCATGGCAGTTATTGATTGTGTGTGTTCACAAGGGAATGCTGGGAATGTTGTGGAGGTTATTGATTGTGTGTTCACGAAGGAATGCTGGGAATGCCATGGCAGTTATTGATTGTGTGTGTTCACAAGGGAATGCTGGGAATGTTGTGGAGGTTATTGATTGTGTGTTCACGAAGGAATGCTGGGAATGCCATGGCAGTTATTGATTGTGTGTGTTCACAAGGGAATGCTGGGAATGTTGTGGAGGTTATTGATTGTGTGTTCACGAAGGAATGCTGGGAATGCCATGGCAGTTATTGATTGTGTGTGTTCACAAGGGAATGCTGGGAATGTTGTGGAGGTTATTGATTGTGTGTTCACGAAGGAATGCTGGGAATGCCATGGCAGTTATTGATTGTGTGTGTTCACAAGGGAATGCTGGGAATGTTGTGGAGGTTATTGATTGTGTGTTCACGAAGGAATGCTGGGAATGCCATGGCAGTTATTGATTGTGTGTGTTCACAAGGGAATGCTGGGAATGTTGTGGAGGTTATTGATTGTGTGTTCACGAAGGAATGCTGGGAATGCCATGGCAGTTATTGATTGTGTGTGTTCACAAGGGAATGCTGGGAATGTTGTGGAGGTTATTGATTGTGTGTTCACGAGGAAATGCTGGGAATGCCATGGCGGTTATTGATTGTGTGTGTTCACGAGGGAATGCTGGGAATGATGTGGAGGGTATTTGATTGTGTGTGTTCATGAGGGAATGCTGGGAATGTTGTGGAGGTTATTGATTGTGTGTTCACGAGGGAATGCTGGGAATGCCATGGCGGTTCTTGATTGTGTGTGTTCACGAGGGAATGCTGGGAATGCCATGGCAGTTGTTGATTGCTTGTATTCATGAGTGAATGCTGGGATTTTGCTGGCTGTTATTGATTATATGTGTACATGTAGGAACTGAAAGAGGACTATCAGGTTCTCCTGGAGACCAAGGGCATGCTGGAGGATCAGCTGGAGTCATTCAGAGCTCGATCTGATAAACATCATGAGCTGGAGAAGGAAAATCTGCAGCTTAAAAACAAGGTCCATGACATGGAGATGGTGAGAGCACAGAGCGATCAAATGTTTAGTCCATTAATACAACTCTATATACAGGGGTGCACATACGTTTTTCAGCCTGGTTTTCATATGAGAACATGGAGATTTGGTTTGGTCCTCACACAGCGGCACATCGTGTGACCCATCAAATATAACTATAAAAAATAAATTAATAATAGTGATAATATTATCACACTTTATTTAGTTTTTTTTAAATAAAATCATAAACTAAATAATAAAGTGTGACCTCATTAGTTTCCACTCTCTTATCTGTCCTGTCTAATGATAAATGATTTTCATTTTCATCTTTTTCTTATTTATTTTACATTAAGTTCAAGATTTGTCAAGATATTTCAAATTATTTAAAGTATTATATAAAATGAATAATAGTTTTATTTAAGCGATGTTGTTCATGTGTTATGAATTATATTCAGGTTGAATTGTGTGATATATCTAGACAGACTGGGGATGCTGACAGATGCTGCTGTGTTTCAGGAGCGAGACATGGACCGGAAGCGCTTGGAGGAGCTGCTGGAGGAGAACCTGACGCTAGCGGTGGCCCAGAAACAGAGCATGGACGAGTCTCTGCATCTGGGCTGGGAACTGGAGCAGCTCTCCAAGACCACTCCCGAGCTCAGTGAAGGTACGAGACATATGTGTGTATGTGGAGCACATTTCAGGATAAATCCCAGATTATGATGCTTTGCCAAGATGGTGAAGTGACCCAAATACAGGATGTTTTCTAACGAGAGGCTGGTGTCCGTGGCCTCTGAGAGATGTTGTGTGTTGTGAGCGCAGTGCCGCAGAAGTCTCTGGGTCACGAGGTGAACGAGCTGACGTCCAGTCAGCTGCTGAAGCTGGAGAAGGAGAATCAGATGCTGCTGAAGAGCGTGGAGGAACTGAAGGCCTCCAGTGAGAGCGGCGCGCGCCTCCGTCTGGAGAAACGCAACCAGAAACTCAGCCAGCAGGTCAGAGTTCACACGCTTCTCAGCACAGTTCTCATATTTGAAAACATGATGTTTATTTGTGAGACTTGACTTTAAAGAATGATGAGTCAAAAGTGTTTCTATATTACAGTTTTTTTCAACAGCTTACACACATTTTCGCTTTTTTTCAAAACTTTACACACAAATCCAAGAACTGCACACACAAAATGCAAAATGCATCACATTTCTTGCAAAATGTAGCACTGCATTCAAAATATCACAAACACATCTCAAAAGCAAACATTTGCAAACAGCTTTGCCATAATATTAATTATTATTAGTTCACAATGAGACCAGGATTAGTAGTAAGGAAGTCCATTCTGGTGTGGCTTTACTAAGCTGTGAATAAATTCTGTTCCTCACACAAAGAAAGGAGAACAGTTTGAACAGAATGGGTTAAAATGTTGCGTGGTCTTAACGGAAACTGAACTCTCAGAGCAGGATAATATTCATCAGTGAGCAATCCGAGTTTAAATCTGATTTGTGTTCACTTAAGTTGCTTCCAGAGCATTAGCCGCTCATACGAGTTTGATTGCTCATTATGAGCGTGTCCATATGTCAGATGAGTGTCACACTGGCAGCTGATGAGGATGTGATGAGTGTATGAAGCGGTGTGTGTTTGCGCAGCTGGAGCAGCTGCAGGCGGAGCTGGCTGCAGACAGAGAGAGTCTGCGCAGCGCTGAGAGTCTGAGCGCAGACCTGCTGAAGGAGAAGGCGCAGCTGGAGAAAACCCTGGAGACGCTCCAGCAGAACTCAGACAGACAGGTACACCGCACTCTCAGTGGACAAGATCTGCAGAGCGAGTACAAAGGCGTAATGCTGCTGAGACATACACAGACATGCTGCAGCAAGCATGTGAAACACACATACATCCCTCCACAAGCGCAAAACACGAGCCCCCAACAATGCTGATCTACCACTAAAACTAATGACCTATGTGTGCCTGAGCCGTTTTGCCTAAGGCTTTCACATTTAGAAACACTTTAAATGTTAGCGGCACAGAGAGCATGAATGCTCATTGACTGACGATTATCAGTAGAGGACCTACTGTATTGGTTCATGCTGGGGGATCATTACTTAAATACTCCATAGTTTCAGCACTTCAAAGCATTATCTTAACACACTTTAAAACTTTCAGTGTAACAGTTTTCTACAGAAAAAAAAATTACCTTTGAGTAGGGCTGGGCAATATGGCAAAAAAAATTAGAACATTCAGAACATTGGACAGTTTCTCAGTTTTTACAGTTTTTAACTAATCAACTTGAAAATGCTTTGCCATAATATTAATTATTATTAGTTCACAATGAGACCAGGATTAGTAGTAAGGAAGTCCATTCTGGTGTGGCTTTACTAAGCTGTGAATAAATTCTGTTCCTCACACAAAGAAAGGAGAACAGTTTGAACAGAATGGGTTAAAATGTTGCGTGGTCTTAACGGAAACTGAACTCTCAGAGCAGGATAATATTCATCAGTGAGCAATCCGAGTTTAAATCTGATTTGTGTTCAGTTAAGCTGCTTCCAGAGCATTAGCCGCTCATACGAGTTTCATTGCTCATTATGAGCGTGTCCATATGTCAGATGAGTGTCACACTGGCAGCTGATGAGGATGTGATGAGTGTATGAAGCGGTGTGTGTTTGCGCAGCTGGAGCAGCTGCAGGCGGAGCTGGCTGCAGACAGAGAGAGTCTGCGCAGCGCTGAGAGTCTGAGCGCAGACCTGCTGAAGGAGAAGGCGCAGCTGGAGAAAACCCTGGAGACGCTCCAGCAGAACTCAGACAGACAGGTACACCGCACTCTCAGTGGACAAGATCTGCAGAGCGAGTACAAAGGCGTAATGCTGCTGAGACATACACAGACATGCTGCAGCAAGCATGTGAAACACACATACATCCCTCCACAAGCGCAAAACACGAGCCCCCAACAATGCTGATCTACCACTAAAACTAATGACCTATGTGTGCCTGAGCCGTTTTGCCTAAGGCTTTCACATTTAGAAACACTTTAAATGTTAGCGGCACAGAGAGCATGAATGCTCATTGACTGACGATTATCAGTAGAGGACCTACTGTATTGGTTCATGCTGGGGGATCATTACTTAAATACTCCATAGTTTCAGCACTTCAAAGCATTATCTTAACACACTTTAAAACTTTCAGTGTAACAGTTTTCTACAGAAAAAAAAATTACCTTTGAGTAGGGCTGGGCAATATGGCAAAAAAAATTAGAACATTCAGAACATTGGACAGTTTCTCAGTTTTTACAGTTTTTAACTAATCAACTTGAAAATGTAACTACAACATAATTCAAGTAACTTTTTCTTTATTAACCCTCTAGTTAAAGATTCTATTCCAAGTGCAGCACACATGAAGTTGTCAACATGATGTAAATGTTAAACAAATCAGAAAAGATGCATGAACTACAACTACATCTTGTACAAACTTGTCTTATACATATTATATGTTCAGAGTTAAATGCTTCTAAAAAAATTCTCAAAAGTCAAGGTAATTCAAATGCACAATGACTGAAGGTATAACACCAGTAGACTATTATTAACTATAAATGTTCTGTAAAAACAACAGCTTTCCATGACGCAAACATGAAATATCAGACATACAGTAGTAGTTCTTCACAGGTTTTTTATTCGATTGCGCTGCTTTTCCATAGTTTTTTCTGTGTAAACATGGATGTGTTTTTAGGCATTCTAAAAATGCGGCGCTCAAGTTAAAAGAAGCTCACTCCTGTCTTCTTGCATTTTTCCTATTCCACTGCCCACGTTGTCAACACAAAAGCGCATTCTGTGTGAACTGCACCTAGCGATATATTCTACTCATGGTCCTTCACGGAGCGCCGACATGCGCTCGGATCATTCTTTTCTCTTTACTCTTATCATTAGCATACTGTCACACTGTCTAATTCTAACGTTTGGTAATATTTCTATTCAAAATCACAGTTCCTCAATTTATAAAAAATAAAATCGTGGCAAAACGTTAAATTCGAATTAATTGATAAAATCGGAAAAATCACCCAGGCCTACCTTTGAGGTATGATGCTGATGACACATACCAAGTTTTGTAATGATGCATTAAAGGGGTGGTTAATTGCGATTTCACTTTTTTAATGTTAGTTAGTGTGTAATGTTGCTGTTTGAGCATAAACAATATCTGCAAAATTACGAAGCTGAAAGTTCAATGCAAACGGAGATATCGTCTTTTAAAATTCTGGCAGTTTAATGCCTACAAAAACGGCTGGTAGGGACTACAACG